TATATATTTCTCTCTCTTTCTTTTGAGACAGTCTCACTCTGTTGCCCTGGGTAGAGTGCTGTACTGTCATAGCTTACAGCAACTCTTGGAATCCAGCCATCCACCTGACTCAGGCTCCCAAGTAACTGAGACTACAGGTGTCTTACAAGGCTTGGCTAGTTTTTTCTATTTTTAGTAGAGATGGGGTCTTGCTCTTGCTCAGGCTGGTCTCGAACTCCTGAGCTGAAGCAATCTGCCTGCTTCAGCCTCCCAGAGTGCCAGGATTACAGGCATGAGCCTCCACACTGGGCCTTTATTTCTGTATATTTCCATATGTCTTAACCCTTTTCTGTTCCTCATGTTTTCCTTTACTGCCTTTTTGTGTGCTTACTTGATATTTTGTGCTGTATCATTTTGATTTCCTTTTCTGTACATGTTTTAGTTATTTAGTAGTTACCGTAGGAATTACAATGAGCATCTTAAACTTGTAACAATGTAGCTTGAATTCCTACTAACTCAGCTTCAATAGTATATAAAAACTCCAAATTGTTTTATTTCCCTACTTCATGTTGTTGCCACAGATTACCTCCATTTCTATGGTTCATTTCTTTTGTCTTAATTTCCATTTTCCTTCTATCTAAAAAATATCCTTTGATATTTCCTTCAGTGCAAGCCCCCTTGTGACACAGATTCTTTCAGTTTTTGTTTTTCTGAAAATGTCTTTATTTCATCTTTATTTTTGAAGTATTTTTTACTGATAGGAAGTTCTAGATGAGCTGGATTTTTCTTTTGGCACTTTGAGATACCATTCTATTGATTTTTGGTTTTTATCATTGCTGTTGAAATATCAGCTATGGGTTGTTTCTTTCATAAAGAGAATTTAGGTTCCCCCTCTCTGGGAATTTTTAATATATTTTTTTATTTGTCTTTGGATTCCATAATTTGGGTTTTTTGGTTTATTTGTTTGTTTTCATCTCTCTTGGGGTTTGCAGTACATTTTACAAATCTATCTTGATGGCTTTTGTCAATTTTGGATGGTTTTTATCTGTTGTCTGTTTTGTGCCATCTCTCTTGCCCTTGCTGTCTAAATACACTTAAGGTAGAATATTTCTTCCATATCTTCAGATATCTCTTATGCTCTTTCTTGTATATTTTCATCCTTTTATTCTTCTGTACTTTAGTCTGGACATTTTATTCTGACCTACCATCTAGCTTTCTAAATCTCTTTTCAGTGGCATCTAAATGGCCTTTTAAACCCTTCAATTGAATTTGTTCTTCAATTTCAGGTATTTTACATTTTATTTCTATAATTTTCGTTTAGTTCTTTTAAAAAAAATCTGCTTTATCAAGTAACCATTGTTACATAATGAACCATTCCAAAATTGAGTAGTTTAAAATAGCAATCACTGACTTAGTGATTCTGCTGGTTGGCAACTTGGGTTTGGCTCAGCTAGTCTGTTCTTTAGGTTTCAGCTTGCATCACTCACTCATGTATGGTCAGCTGCTGGACTGGTTAGGGGTGGCTGATGTAGGAGGACTTCAGCTGTGCTGGTTTATTTCCATACTGTATGATCTCTCATTTTTCAGCAAGGTATTCTAGGCTTGTTCACAGATAAGCTAGAAAAAGAGAACAAGTAGAAATGTGCAATGCCTCTTAGTCTTAGGCTTAGGACTTGCACAACATCATTTTTACTGCATTCTATTTGGAAGGCCACCCATTTATAAAAGACGGGAAAGTGGACCCCCTTTCGTAATGATGGGAGGAGCTACAAAACCACATTGCAAAGACACGGTTATTTTTGCATTCTATCATACTAGCTCTCTGCTGAAATTCTCTAACTTGTATTCTATTTTCTTGAACATATTAAGCATAATTATTTTAAAGTTTATGGTAACTCTAGTACTTAGCTGCTCCCTAGGATCTCTGTTCCTATTGTCCATTTTTTATTTTGGTTTTTGGACATATTTCCTCCTCTTAAGCTTATTTTAAATTTCATTTTGGATATAGTATATGAAAATTCCAGAAATAATCTAATGTTCTAGTTGACGTTATTTTCCTCCAGTAATAGTTTATGTTTGCCTCTAGTAGGCAGCCAGATTAGAGCTACTAAAGATTCTAGCCTAATGCAGGGATGATTAAAAATCAAGCTTCAGTCCCTGTGAGGGCTGCTCATTTCTTGATCACTCTTAACTTTAATGTACAACCCTTAGTGGCACCAACTCCAACTCTGATGGGTATACCCGCTTTGTAACAGAAGGGCCCTGAACTACAGCTTCTCTTAGTTCCTTGAATTTATTATAAGCTCTACTTGGCTCCTCAGCATTTTAGCTGCCATTTATAAATTCATAAGATGCTTCCAGGGCCAGGCACAGTGGCTAATGCCTGTAATCCGAGCACTTTGGCAGGCTGAGGCAGGTGGAGTGTTTCAGCTCAGGAGTTTGAGACCAACCTGAGCAACAGTGAGACTGCATCTCTACTAAAAGTAGAAAAAATAGCTAGGCATCATGGCAGGTACCTGTAGTCCCAGCTACTTGGGAGGCTGAGTCAGGAGGATCTCTTGAGCCCAAGAGTTTGAGGTTGCTGTGAGCTATGATGCCATGGCACTCTAGCTTGGCCAACAGAGTGAGACTCTGCCCCCCCAAAAAGAAAAGGATGCTTCTGGGAACAGAAGTCAAAAATTTGAGCTCACCTCCTTGAATTTCCTCCTTGCAGGTCATAGCCCCATAATATTTCTGCAGTTTATTAGCTCTCTGATGCCCTTAACATGTACCAGATTAATATTAATTAATAATATTATTAATATTAATTAATATTTTGTTCATTTCTCTTCTAGTTATTATCAGTGGGACGGTGGATTAACATGCCTTAATCTGATTTTTTATTATCAGAACTAGAATTCCTTAAAGGATTATTTATCTCAATCATTTAATACATGCCATAGAATGGCAGTATATTCTGTTTCCAGATTATGAACTCTCTAGAGTCAGAAGCCATGTTTCATACAGGAAGAGGCCTTATCTCTTCAAGTTATGGGTACAGTGGGACTCAATAAAGATGAAATAATTGGTGGTGGCAGTGTATGTCCTTTTTGTAGGTTTAGTGATTTTTTTTTTCATTCACTTTGCTTTTAAGGTCTTTGTGCAATGCTTGCTTGGTAGGTTACCTGTTCTTATAAATGTTTCTATGACTGTGGTAGACAGACACAGAGATTCATGGCACAGCCTCTGCTTTTGAGAAGGCTTTGGTTTGGTAATGGACAGAGCCAGTACATGTCATATAAATATAAATGAAGTGCAAATGGGAGCCCTGTGTTTTGCTCTCAGGAGCATCTAGATCAAAGACGTATGCATATGTGGGTATATATGTTTACGTGTGTGTAATATGTATGTATATGTACATGTGTGCATATACACATATATTTAATAGGTCTATGGGCTACATGTGCATATTTGCTACATGGATAAATTGAGTAGCAGTGACATCTGGGATTCTTGTGTAACCCTCACCCAATTAGCATGGGTACCCACTAGATAATGAGAAATTAGGGTGGGATGAGAAGCAATTTCCCCCTCCCACCCTCCGAAGTCTCCAGTGGATTGAGCCACTCTCTGTGTCTGTGTGAGCTCATCATTTAGCTTCCACTTTGAAGTAAGAACATGTGCCATTTGATTTTCTGAAAGAAACATTCTTCATTAGCCAAATAGTATTACAAGTCCTTTAATTATCTACTCAGTCTCTTGACAAAAAGCCAGGTGTGGCTGAGAGAAAGTGCATTTATAATGCACTAGGCATCCAAACAACCCTCTGTCTCAACTGCCCCCCTCTTGATGGCCTCCATTTTTACAGGGTCATTTGTATAACTGTCCTCATCTATCCCCTCCTCTAAACTCTCCTGACCCTCCGGAATTCATCCACTCAGACTTTTTTATGTAGTGCCCCTGCTGGGCCAGACCACATAGTGTCCCTTCCCAAAAGAAGCTGCAGGAATGTCCACTCTTCTCCACTGACAGCACTGGGGTGCTCTAGGGTGTCACTCCCACCCACCCCCACCTTTCATTAGTTCTTATCTTGATCCCCTGAGAGAGAAGTACTGGAATATGCGTGTGAAGTGCATCTTTCTTTTTCTCTTTCTTATTGTTTTCTAGGGAGCAATTTTTGTGGAGACTTTCTGGTCACTGAAAAATTGCCAGACATAGAGAAATAATGACTACAATTCAAGGCACCAAGTCCTGAGAGAGAGGAATTCAGCTCTTTAGGAGGACTATAAGAGGGGTCATGAGTTCAGCTTGGAGCATCAGTTTGCCCCTGGAGTCTGGCTACTCAGAATTTCTCGCAGAATTTCTCTGCTGGCCACTAGTAGCTGCCTCAGTGCTGCTTGGAAGGAGTCACATTAGATAACGGTGTTTATAATATCATGGTTAAGAATTTTAAGAATTCATCCTCTACAGTCATTCAGTCTGGGTTTCAACCTCATCATTTTCACTGTGTAACTTGAACCAGTTACCTAAGCTCTTTCTGACTCACTTTTCTAGCCTGTAAAATGGAGATAAGACCACCATATAAGATCATTGTAAAGTTAGATAGCTAAAATATGTAAGGGGTTTAAAAACCGCTCTTCACATAGCAAATACTCAAGGGGTTTAAACTATTGTTACTGGTCTGAGGACTCCTTCAGACTGGTGCACAGAGCTTGGGGAAAAGGCCCAGACAAGGGAAGTGCTCGAGAGCTCGCTTAGGCACCATCATACTCCCCCCCATCCTATTAGTTAAAGGCCAATCTTCCTAATGCCTCGACCCTTTAATACAGTTCCTATTGTTGTGGTGACCTCCAACCATAAAATTATTATTTTCATTGGTACTTCAGGTGTTGCTACTTCATAACTGAAATATGTGTTTTCTGATGGTCGTAGGTGACCCACAAGTTGAGAACCACTGGCTTAAGGGAGGTCACATCCAACTGCCCACCTTGCTCAGGACTGCCACTCATCCTGCCACTTTCATCTTGGGTTCTCTTTCCTAGAATGCCCAGGTTCAGCCACTGTTGTGGTTGGCCTCTCGGGAGAGTCTCTCCAGTTAAGGCCCAACATCACACAGAGGAAGATATACTCTGTTGAATGGAAGAGGCAGCTGCCCTCACATTCAGCTTATCATCTCATACTGACTTGGGAGAATGGGCCCACGCCGAATAATGAATCTTCAACTTTGAATAATTTCAACAATAAATTCAGCTTCAGAACCGAGAACTTGGCTCTTCTCATTAACACAGCTCAGCAGCAGGACAGTGGCTCCTACTGCCTGGAGGTCACCAATGAGTCTGGACATGTTTGGACAGTCAAGTTCCAGGTTTCTGTATTTGGTGAGTCTATGGGACCATTCACCCTGTTCCTCTGATTCCTTCAGGACTTGCTTTTCCAGTGCCTTTCTGATCAGAATCTCTGCTTTCAGATCGAGTTGAGAAACCACACCTGCAGTGGCAGGGGAAGGTCCTGGACAGAGGGAGATGCCAAGTGTCTCTGTATTGCTTGGTCTCCAGGGATAGAAATGTGACCTATTCTTGGTACAGAGGGAACAAGCTAATCCTCAAGGCAAGGAACCTCACCTACCTGGAGGAGGAGATTGATAATAACACGTACACATACACCTGCATTGTCCACAATCCTGTGAGCTGGAACAGTCATTCCCTCAACCTCACTGCGAGTTGTCAGAATGTCCACCAGGGTAAGTGGAGCACTCGGGCTGTATGTGGAGCTGAAAGTGTTGGACCCCACAAGCATGCTCACATGGGAGAGAAACCTGGGTATGAGATGAGATCCTTTGACTTCTTCCCCCAGTGCCTTGACTTCTTACCCCAGTGCCCTTCCCTAGTGGGGTCCTAACCTCTAGGTACACAGTTCCTGTGGAGTCAGGCCTATACTAGCCTGGGAAAATTTTTTTCTCCATCTTTCCTTCTGGGAGCTACAATCGTCCCCTTCACACAGGGAGTGCATGAAAGCTTTGTGAGTCACTGTCCTACAATGGCTTCTGGCCATTGTTTTCTTCCTCTAAGAGGCTCACGGAGACCTGCTTTCTCCTCTTGATCAAAATCTTTCCCAAAGCCACATAGTACCTCAAGAGGTAACAATGCCATACAACAGTGGCCTAGATGGGAGCATCACAAGGCTCACAGGGAGGTCTCGGGCCATCCCTTATGCTCATCCTGAGAGTTACCTGAGTGGAGTATGCACTCCAGGTAAACAAAAACTTCATGTGCCATCAATATGGGCATTGTGGGGGGAAAAAAAAAACCCATGTGCAATCTCAGTCCTTAAGAAACATACAGCCAAGTTGGGGCAACAAAATTGAGTACTGTGGACAGAAAAGAAACAAGGTGATGTGTAGTGACAAGGATACTGGCCTCTCGGTCAGGTCAACCATGGTTTGTTTCATCATTCACAAGCTCCATGATCTCAGGCAGATTCATTAACCTCTCTGAGACATAATTTTCACTTGAGTGACATGGGGATGATAAGATATACATCACAGGACTGTTGTTAAGAGAAAAGAGATAATATTTGTAAAGAGCCTAGTCAGCCTGCACTTGGAATATTTGATTTTTTTCCCTTCCTTTTTAACTTTTTGTGACATAAGGGCTCTCACATCCCTTCCTCTTGTTAGTTGTGTTATAGATCAGATTACATGCGTGAGACAAAAGTTAAATGTAGAAGTTCAAATGAGGAAGAGGCCTGAAGGCAGGACTAGCAGGAAGGCGAGATGGAGGGCTTTCCCGGAACACAGTAGCTATACAGTAAATATTTCTCAAGTTAAAAACAAATGAATGATCCTATTATATAAATAGTCATCCCTTTATATCCATGGGATATCCAGGACACCTCATGAATTCCAAAATCCAGGGATTCTCAAGTCCCTTATATAAAATGTCACGTATTTGTGTATAATTTACACACATTCTGCCATATACGTTAAACCACCTCAACCAACCAAAACTATTTTGTTACTCCAATTTGGCCATATGTTTCTTAAGGATTGGGATTGCATGTGGGTTTTTTTTTTTTCACACAATGACCATGCCAATGGCACCTGAAGTCTTTGTTTACCTACAGTGCATACTCCACTCAGGTAACTCTCAGCATGAGCACAAGGGATGGTGCGAGACCTCCCTGTGAGCCTTGTGACGCTCCCATCTAGGCTTATAACATCTGATACAAGGTAAATGCTATGTAGACAGATGTTATGTTGTTCAGGGAATAATGATGAAAAAGGTCTGTACATGGTCAGTACAGACAGGTGGGAAGAAGGAAGAGGGAGAGCTGACAACTCGCTTCTTGTGCCTTCTATAACTTGCAGAATTCAGACTTCGGCCCCTTTTGGTGACCACTGTGATTCTAATCACACTGCTCCTGGGCAGCCTTACCTGCTTCTGCATGTGGAAGAGGAAGAGGAAGAGGAAGCAGCCAGGTAAGCAGAAGGTTCCTTGAGGAGCTGCCTGAGGCATCAGACCCAGTGACTTGGCCCGGTGTCCAGTGTGATGTGTCTCGAGCACAGCAGTGTCTCCTTGTACTCAGGGAGAGTTGGGGTGCATGTGTGCATGGTTGGGGGACAGCAAGTGGAGGGCCTCTGTCTCCTGGGCCTCTCTCCCAGCGCATGCCTGCTATTGTGGCTGTCGGATATGTACAGTCAGATTGGCTTACAGGTGGCTGCATTGCTGGGGGATGTCCTGCCTGCTGGAGGAGGTGCGGGGGGGGGGGTAGTTATTGCCTTTGTGTTTGTCGGGCATCCTGGGAAAAGCACGAACCTGCCTCCTTTCTGGGACCTTGCTTAAGGACTTGGCCATTTGATGTGGAGGTGGGACTTGTTAGAAGCGGAAGCCTGGGCTGGAAACCTCCAGAGGTTTCTGCGGCCCAGTTCTTTGCTTATTCTTCCTGCAGAGACCAGCCCTGAGGAGTATCTGACAATTTATGAAGATGTCAAGGACCTGAAGACTACAAGAAACCAAGTAGGGCTTCCGGGGGGCTGGGATTTCTCTCAGCTAACCTGGAAGATACCCTTTTGATTGTGGCCATTTGAAGCAGGGTGATAAAGAGGACTTGACAATTGTCCTCTTGACATGATCCTCAGCTCTTCCTAATTGACCTTTTTTCTGTCAGTTTCCTAACTCTGGGTGTGGAGGAAAATAAGGAAAGCAAAGGGAGCAGAGAAGATGACGAGGCGGCAGAAGGGGCACACTGGTGCAGAATCACACCTGCTAATCAGGGACAGGACAAAGCAGGAATCAACAGCAGGGGAGGGATGCTGGCAGCACACCCTCTCACATCCTCACCTCTGCTGTCCTGCCAGCTGAGCTGAGGGCAACCTTCTTCCATTTATTGTGTCTGACCACAAATTCTCTTTTCCTACAAGTCAAAGTTTACTTTCTTTCTTTTCTTTCTTTTTTTTTTTTTAACTATTCTAAGCACTTTATTATATATGAATACATTTAATCCTCACAACACCTCTATAAGCAAAGAGCTCTTTTTTTTTTCTTTTAATTTCAGGCTGCTTTATTCCATGAATATTTACAGAACATCAACTATAGGCAAAACATTGACATAATCATTGAAGATAACATTGGGACAAATATATCAATCTTATGAGGAAAGAAAAGCATTATCTACAAATCAATTATGAGATAAGTGTACTCATTACCACCACTCCTAGTAAAGTTGAAGATCCTAGCTAGTACAATTATGATAAATCAAAGCTTACTTTCTTGAGTCCCCTAATCATGACCTAGGCTGATGAGTGTGACCAGCCAAAGCAAAGCAGATCTGCCACTGATTTGGGGGGCTATGCAGCCTCTTAGGTAGAAGGGGCCTGAATCTGGCTGAGGCATGAGAGTATCCAGTACAGCACAGAGCTAATAGGAGGATGGCCCAGGTGGGCTCCTCTGAGACCTTCTCTCACCAGCTCTCTGTGGCAAACCAAGTCTGCTTGTCATCCAGGATGCAGGGGGGAGGAAGCTGCAGAGGGGCTGCAGACACCCTTGCTGCTGGGCCTCTGAGCAGGGCAGGATGTGGTGACAGGCCCCGGGGAAAGGCCCCAATGGGTTAAGCAGTGGCTACCGAGCTACTGGTGATAAGGGGTCGTACAGGTGGATAGGAAGTGCATTTTTGCTGCTGCCATCCCTGGTGCTTGGCAGTGGAGGCTCAATACTGTAGAGGAAACACGCACAGTGGGGACCTTCTGCCCTGCTCAGATGTGCGGCCCTGGGAGGCCTCAAAAGATAGGCACCACTCTGAGGTCTGGGCTCCGTGGGCATCAGGGGAACAACCTCATCTGTGTTCTCTGTGTTCTTGGTCTAGCATTGGGGTGTGAAAACTAAAGGAAACTTTGTTTCTCTTAGTGCTACCGGACTCTGGTACAAATTCCTAGAGCATGTACATCTACCCACAACAACTAATGCCTATGTGCTCACTAAAAATAGCCTTCTCCCCTCCAGATGAAGATGACTTTAGGAGACCACAGGAGAAAATACTTAGCACACCAGGTCTCAGCCTTCCCTGCCTTTCCCAGCTGTCTCTGGGTTCCAGTTTGAAGGCCTAAATCCCAAGTTCACTTCATGACCCAGCTCCCACCTTTCTGGAGACTCTTCACATGAGTCTGGACAGGAGACAAAAGGAGCAAACTCCTGCTTCTTGACAGATATCCATGGCTCTCCAGCTTCCAGGGACAGCTGACACTTCTCTGCTCTGTCTAGCTTCTTCTTGCTTCTGGGAGTTGGGCCTAGTCCAGTGGACCCTTCTGGCCTCCTCTGGCCCACACCAGGGTCCATGTTGGCAATATGTGTTCAGGATTAGCAGCATGAAATACCTCCATTCCTAATCCCTAATCTCCTAGGGGGGCAGAAACAGAAGAGAGAAACAGGAAGGGCCTTGTGCTCCCTTCTTTTGGCCTTGGGTCCAGGGCTCCACCCAGCACTTCCAGGGCAAGCTGGCCTAGAGGCTGGATCTAGAGGGGCGATGGGAGAGGGGTTCAATAATTCTCAGTCTTTGAAATGTTTAAATCCTCTGAATTGTAGTGCTCAAGGTAAGGCTCAGATCACAACTCTACTCTGAGCCCTTTCTGTTATCAGTGGCTATGTGACAAATTTAGGAGAGAATTACCAAAGGAAAAGAAGGGTCTTTATGTTATTGAAGTAAAGAATGTCACAGAATTGCTCAAATCCCTTCACTCATGGGTGGTCCCTTGGTCCAGACACTAACTCCACTGCAGATGGCTCTTTTTCCTGTCTCTCCCTAGCCCGGGTGACCAGTGATGAGGCTCTCCCCAGTCCTGCCCCTTTCTTTTTGCTGCCTTCCCTATGCAACCCGAATCTGGCCTGACACAGCTGCCTGCTCACGTTACCCCCATGTTCCTTTCCTGTTTCTTGTGTAGAAGCAGAAGCCCAAGCAGAATTCTCCTGAGAATGAGAGCACCATCTACTCTATGATCCAGGCCCAGGTACCAGTATGGGTCCTCCAGTCCACTCTAGGTCTATCTGTGGGGCTTTCTAATGCATCATCCCCTCCCTGAAATTCACACCGTTGAATGGCAGAATAAGATCTTGGTGTTCCCGGGGTTCAGAAGACAGCTTAGCCTCAGTTACATTAATAAGATATTTGGAAAGATCAGTGTGGTTCTGGAGTGTCTTAGCACAGCCGGGAGGCCTGAAATAGGCGTCCCTTCTTTTCCATTCCTGGCAGAAGGTCTGGCTCTGGTTAGGTCTGTAGGGGAAGAAACTTGTTGGGGGACTTAACTTCCATTTTTCATCCTTGCTGTTTCCTTTCCAGTACTTGAGGCCCTTGTACTTTGTAATCTCTATTCTTTAATGTATCTGTTTTGGGGAAAGACTAGAACTGTAGTAGTGCCTTTTATCTTATGACTTAGCTATAATGGCCATTTTCTTAATAAATCTCACATAACAGCCTCATGAAGGCTGTTCTAAATACTGTAGATGTGATCTAAATTCCATATCATAGACAAGGAAACTGAGATTTGATTTAACTAATATGCCCAGCCATTAAGCAAGACCATGGCAAAGCTGAACCCAGTGGCTTCTGAGTTCTCATTCTGTCCCCTCCCACCCCATCTCTAACATTCTGGGATTACGGAGATTCACCCAGAAACCAGAGGAGCATCCTCTAATACGGACAGCTAGCTAAGGAGACATTAACCCAGGATGGAACACCTCAAATAAAACACTGCCCCCTGATGGTCAGTGATCAAAAGTTTCTGATAAAAATAGCTTAATTAAAAAAAAAAAAAAAAAATTGAGAGCCAAGACAGCAACCTTTTCAGCTTATGTAGGGTGACCAGATTTTAACATCGGTAAGGCGGGACAACAGGGCCGGGCCTGACAACAATGCAAACTTTGATAAGCAGTTCTCGATAATCACTTCTCAGCAATTATTTGTTATTATTACAGTTTAACATTATAAAATTAACAAAAATAATATAAAACTCATATTCTGGCGAAATAGCCACATGGCAGCCGAAAACCGTATATTCCCTTCTTGTTCTCCCGCCCATTCCCGCATTCTTTCCAAAAATCAGGACTTTTTTCAAGCGCCGCGGGACGCAGCACAAATTGTTGAAAAGCGGGACTGTCCCGCCAAAAGCAGGACGTCTGATCACCCTAAGCTTATAGCTAAGCTGTGGAACAAAGAAAATACGATCCTAAGAGTGACTGATATCTGTCAGTTCCCAGGCTTGGGAATGAAGTTCCCACATTGAACTTCAGTAAGAGGCATTTGAAAAAATAAGGAAGGTTTTCTCTCAGATGAGGATGCTCAGTGAGAATGAGATTCCTCCTTGGGAGCGTCTTAAAAGGAGTACGGTTCCCTGGCTTAGAGGACACCGAGTTTGGTTGTAGAGAAGGAAGACACCTTGCCAAATGGAGGTGTTGAGGTGTTGAGGAAGGATCCCTAAGAGCCTCGAGTCTGAATTCGGTTTCGGCTCTGTACACACTGTCTGGCTTGAGCTATTATCATTTCGGAGCCTCATCTGTGGAATCCTTCCTATCTCATAAAAAACCCTCAGAGGGCTGGGGGAGCGCACTACTTACATGTATAAGGTGATTCTCAACAAATAGTAGCTATGACTAATGAGGGGCTGGGGCTAGTGGCCTGGTTGTCTGACGTCCTGGCTGGTCCCATGTTCTTTTTACTAATGTTTAAAGTTTCCATCTGGGCAAGGTTGAGGCAGAGGGATGGAAGAGATGACCTCCCTGGGGTTGTCTTGAGTCTAAGCTTCTGACATAGTTTTATCTCTCTTCTCACTAGTCTTCTGTTGCCACTTCACAAGAAACTCCGAACACATTATATTCATTTGTACAGCCTTCCAGAAAGGTGAGTCTTCCCGGGTGGGGTGCTGTGATGCATGTGTGTGTGCAGGCTCATGTGTGCTCCTGCCAGGGAGCTGTCCTCCCCTGTATGTATAGAGAAGCTTCTGTTCAGTGACTATATTTAAAGGTTAAGGGACCAACAAGAAATGCCTTTCTGCTTCTGTCTGGAGAAAACTAACGGCTTCCAGACTAAGAGAAGACTAAGGAAAGGAACAGCTTCCAGACTACGATTATATAACATTGGATGTATCATATCATTGGATTAGAGGATCTTCTAAGTTTGTGTGAGAGAGAAAGGATAATGAGACAGAGCAGGAGGGGCTCCTTGCAGTGGGGCTAGCTGAAGTCATGGTGAGGGATGCTGGGGGTGCCAGGCAGCAGACTAAAGCCTGGAGCCACAGCCGTAGCCTGGCCCCAGAGAGGTATGATGCTGATTTCCAGGTTCTGTCAAGGCCCTGGCCAGTCACTTGCTGGTAGTAGCCTCCAGACTGCATATTCATCCAGCTGTACTCAGATCCTGAGCTAAGCTGAGTCAGAGCTCTCACACGTACCTGGAACCAGAGAGCTGGGTATTCCTGGTACCATGGTTGCTGTTTCCACCTCGTGTGGGAGGGGACGGGAAGAGTGGTGTCTCCAAGGCTGGATTCCCAGCATGAGGACATCTACCTCAATACAGTAGAAGAAAAGTTGGGAATCCACAAAACTGGAAGTCCAAGAAGCTCAGGGACCATGCATTTGAAAGGATTGAACAGAAGTTTTAGGCTTTTTATTCAACTTCCTCCCAGTAAGTCATTCAATTACCTTGGATCCCATCATGAGAAACATTTATTCTTAATTATGAGGACATATAGATGGATGCATAGATGTTCACACTGTGTTCATGTACTCTGGTATTATGTTATGAAAACTTGACATACTACTGAACACGCTTTTTAATTCCAGCAATTCACATAACCACCGTGTTCAGGGTATGTGCCAGAGTTTGGCAGTCATTTTTATGCTGGACTTTTTTACGTCAGGGTGTGCATATACTGTGTGTTGAAGCGATACATGGTGGGGCAGTGTTTGGACTAGGATTGCCTGAGGGATGTGCATGTATGTGTACACATTGCACTAGGAATGTATGTCTGTCTGTAGGTATGTACACATTCCAAGAGTGTGTGGGTGGGGAAAACTAAATTCTGAGTTTGGCTCAGGAAGGTCATATCATAGGCCAGTAAGCACTGTACAAGTCATGCCTTCCCTGCACACCATAAACACTGTTGTTTACTTCTGGGATGGGAGATTCTATTTGCTTTCTGGCTGAGGACACCTCAGGGGTTTCCTGGGCCCTGAGTTTCTTTTGGGACCTCTCACATAGTTAAGAGTAGAGCAAAATATTCTTCTTAGTAAAGTATCTCAGGAATGGAAAAAAAATATCCAATGTACTCAGTACTACTGTGAAACCAATTTATAATCACTCACACTTGGATATGAAAAATGAAACACTACTGTAGCCTGGGATGAAGGAGGGAAAGGGAGGGGAATGGGAAAGGAGGGGGGTGGGGCAATGGAGGGTTAGTAGGGGGACCACACCTATGTCACATATTGCAAGTACAAGTTGTATCTATGATGTAGAACACAAATGTCTTAATGCTGTAATTGGGTGAATGAAGTGAAGGCTATGTTGATTAGTAGGATGTAAGCACTCCAATTTGTACAAATAATCAATATATTGAATCCCATAATGGCATAAATATATTTATGATCTATGTACAAATGACTTAATAAAAAAATTAAAAAAAATAAAATTTAAATTTCTCAAAAAAAAAAAGAAAAAAATAAGACTAGAACATTCTTATATTGAAGTTAAGCATTGTTTACCCTCTGAATTTTCAGTCTGGATCCAAGAAGAGGAACCACAACCCACCCTTCAGTAGCACTGTTTATGAAGAGGTAAGAGCCCAGAACTCCTCTGAAGAAGCACAGGTTCTGAAGTTCAGCTATGAAAGGGTGTACTCTCACCATAAGTAGGTCATTCCTCTGACCTCAGAGTTGTCAGGTGTCTTCTAACACTGAGCTTAACTTTAGAGGTGAAGACACTGAGGCTTAGGGAGACCAAGGGTTGAACTCTCAAGATCATAGCATATATCCAGGTTTGACTCTCGTTGGGCTTGGCCTCTAAATTAGGGCTGTCCCCAAGCTAGTTCTCAGGCTATGGGCCACAAGCTGGACATCTGTCATTTCGAAGGCTTGGAGTTAGGGATCAGAGAAGGGATAATAAGTGACTTCATGATGTTCTCCCCCAACTCTCAAGTGAAGCCAGAATAAATTTAAATGATTTTCTAAAATTGGCGAGTCACTCGGAACTATTCCAGGACATGGGTGATCTTAAGCTCAGTGAGGGTGCACACTGTTCCAAGGTGACCACTGAGCCTAGTGGCTGAACTGATTCCCATCAGGGTGTTTAGGGAGTGGACAAGGAGGAACTCAACATCTTTGGGGGATGAACACCCCCACCCATAAGCCTCATGCTATACCTGAGCCTCCACCTGCGGTCCAAGAAGATGTTGCTATTGGTGACAAGGGAGAGGGCAAGTGGGTCCCACTGGGATTCCTGGCACATCCAGCTACAGCCCAACATTAAAGCCAGCTGGACAGCCCTGTTGTAGAAGACACCGTGTGGGCATCATGGAGAAGCATGTGTGGCTAAAAAAGTACCAGATTTGGAACCAGATGAACCAAATTCAAGTCCCTCCTTTACTTCACATTGAGCTATTGACTCGAGTAATTTGTTTTTCCACTCCATGCTTCATCGTCTAATTTGTAAAACAGGAACACTAATTCATACCCCACAGAACTATTCCAAGGATGTTATAAGGGAGGGTCTGAAGTTTCTCCTTTTCTTCTGTAGGTTGGAAACAGAGAACCCAAAGCCCAGAACCCTGCTCGACTGAGCCGCAAAGAGTTGGAGAGCTTTGCTGTTTATTCCTAGCTGCTGCCGGTGTTCCCGCCTTGCTGTCACAGCAGCATCTGCTTTGGGAATCAGCCTGCGAGTCTTTACAGAACATGTGCTAGTCTGGAGAGGATATGAAAGTTTGTTCATGGTCTATATTTTGTTTTGAAAATAGCCATTATAAAAGCCAGGCTGTTAAATAATATGGTCCAATTTACAGATCAGATGAGAACGGGTAGATTGGGTCATTCACAAAAGACTATTCCAAGTACTTGTAGTCTATAAGGGCTGGTATTGTTATTAGAGTCCTTCCTCCCTGCTTTCTAGTCTGCTACTTGTCTCTCATACCCCCAATCTGGGATGACTGTCTCTCTAGACCCTCTGCTGGCCCAGGCCCATCTTCCAAAGCAAGAGGATGGAAAGACAATGGTGAAGCAGAGGGAGAGGAAAGACCTTCTTTGTGGGGCTGGGCTGCCTGGCTGTGAGTGGGCGGCTGGGTTCTCCAGGGGGCCAGGGCCTAGGGTTTACTCACATGCAGAGCAAAAACCTTCCTCCCACCCTCATACCTTTGCTGCTGGCTAATTGGTCGCCAAGGGTAGTGAGTAGAAGTGGGAGTAGATGGCACAAAGCACGGCCACCTCTGAGCTGAAAACCACCTCAGCCCATGCTGTCCTGATAATCTGGTAGTGACACCAGCTTTGTCCACCGTGTGATGTTTAATTTATGAAGTCGCATTATTAGAAGTCTATTTTGGCTTCTTGACAGAAGCACCTTCATCAAAGAAGAGGCATCTTGGACACCATATTCTACTTCAGCCCTAAGACCTAAGAGTGCTCCTGTGAATACCCAGAGTGGGGGCCCAGGCAGCTTAGGGCCGAAGACAAGGCCACTGGGCACTAGGCACGGGGTTGTTCTCCCAAGGCAGTGGGAGCAGGGCTGGGACTCTGAGCCCAGGAAAGGAATGAAGGTAAACTAGGAGCTTACTCAGAGACCCCCTAGATGACACTGCACGGAGCCTGGCTCTTCAATCGCCCCACTCTGTATTCAACATATGAGTTTGATATAAACTGTGATGTTACACAGGGGTAGTCTAAACCCATTGCCTGAACAAAATTTCAGTGCCTACACCATACTGTGCCCAACTGCACATGTGGGCCACCATAAACACACATCTGTTTCTACCCTGCTGCACAGGGATCTGGTTTCCTGGTGAGCCCCCAGTGTCCCCTCAGCCTTGTTCACACTGGGACAAGAGAGCCTTTTGAAGGGTAGCTGAGGTGTGCACCTGCCTGTACTCTGCTTGTTAACTCAAGACTGTGTGGTTGGCCTGCCTGGCTTCAATACCCATTATAGATGGGTATCACACAATACTCACCCGTCCCAGACCGGTAGCACACAATACTCATCGTCCCGGACTTTGTTCTTCCCCCTCCACAGTGTGCCTCATGCTTCTTCCATGTTGGCACGTGTTAGCTCTTGCTTTCTTTACAAGTGGCAGGGATGCCACTGCTTGGGTAGACTGCCATGTATTTAACTCATGCTGAGAGACTCATGGACTCTCAGTAAACGGGCATGCAGGTATTTCATGCTCTTTATTTATATCATACTGCAGTAAAATCATTTTACACAGTTCCTTGTGCCCGTGGGTGAGACTACCCCCTCCAACACCATTTTACCAGCCTTAGCAGAATCTTGAGGAAGAAATGCTGTGAGTGTTTGAGGAGATAAGTAGAACAAAGGCATCTAAGCCCATGGGAGGAGTCTGAGTCTGAACTCTTAATGGGCTTGGGAGGCTGTGAGTGTGAGAAGAGGAGAGGTCAAATGCAGGTACCTCTGAAGGAAACTCTGAGGGGCTTCCTTCTGTCCGCAGAGCACCAGACGCCACATGGTCCAGCTGCCTCTTCAACCTTAGCCAGGAGAGAGGCCACACCTGTTTTTCTTTTCAGGTGAAATTTTCTTAGGTAGGGCTTTCAGGAGACTTAAGATTATTCTGTTGTGGTGGTGGCACTACCTGTGAGTTGAAAGAATACACAAGAATGTGGTTAATAGGGCAGCACCTGTGGCTCAGTGAGTAGGGCGCTGGCCCCATATACCGAGGGTGGCGGGTTCAAACTGTCCCTGGCCAAATTGCAACAAAAAAATAGCCGGGCGTTGTGGCGAGCACCTATAGGCCCAGCTACTTGGAAGGCTGAGGCAAAAGAATCGCTTAAGCCCAAGAGCTGGAGGTTGCTGTGAGCTATGACGACCCGGCACTCTACCAAGGGTGACACTGAGCCGCTCTGTCTCTAAAAAAAAAAAAAAAGAATGTAGTTAATAAAGCCTTAAAAAGACTCCGGTGTCCTCAGCCCTGTTCCAGTGAGAAAAGGAAGGCAAGGCCAGGCTGGGGCTGGTCCATCCTTCAGAAGAAGGGTCATGTGGACTAGCCTAAGGATTGAGCCATCAACCAAACTGATAATAAGCATTTATGTAGGAACAGACAGTTTAATGCAGCAAATCCAGGTGATACAAAAATGACAGTCAAAGGCCTTGACCCCCAAAAGCTACTGTTGAATGGTCCCAACCACTGCTCTAGCTGGAGAAACAAGGCAAACATTTATATAAGATAATTTAGATGGCAGTTTCCAAAGTAATGGTCTAGACCATTAGACCTTCATGTTCTGAGGGTTCTTAGAATGTCCTGTCTGAGAGTGTCCAGGGAGGGCTCTAAGCAGCTCATGAAATCTGAGCTGATACAGAGGAGAGGGGGTGAGATACCAGCAACAGCCTGGGGATATCAAGAGCTTTGTGCAGAGAAGTGTGTCAGAAAATAATAACTTAAGTAAGTTTGAGGATGTCTAAAGTGAGCAGAGATCCAGAATCAGAATTCCTGGTCCTGAAAATTCTGAAGACAAGGGATAAATTCTGCTAAGAGTTTGGCTGGGGAAATGCATTGATTTTCACCTACACTGCAGGTGAGGGTGGTTGAAAGACCTTAAGTTGCAAGGGTAGTGTGACCACCTTGCAGGACTGACCAGACATGTGGGGATTCATGGTCATTCTGAAACTCAGAGCAGGGACGGATGTATGTGACTTTCAGTTTGACCAACATTGACCCAAACACAAAGGGCAAGGCCAGGCAGAAAGAGGCTCTGGGAATGCAGCAAACAGCACAGATTGGGCCTCAAGTCCAAAGGCAATGTCCCTAGCAAGCTAAGCATTAGACTACAATCTGGAAGTCAGGATGAGGCAGATGGTGGAACTGAACACATCTGAACAGGTTTACCAAGCCAATTTTATCCACTTTTTAAGGTCCAACCCAAAGCCGTTCTTCATAAAGCCTTTCCTCTCTACCTCAGTGCAGTGATAGCTCTCACTTCCAATATGGGAAAAGCCCTTGATAACTATCCACATAGTTCATTAAGCAGTCAAGTACGCTCAACCCTTGAACAACACATTTGAACCTGCTCAGGTCCTTTTATATGTGGATTTTTTTCAATAAAATTTACAACAAGCGAGCCTGTCTTCCCTTTTACCCACTCTACCTCTTCCGCCTCTGCACCCTGAGACAATTAAGACCAGCCCTCCTCCTCCTCAGCCTACTCAGTGAAGGCGAGGATAAGGATCTCTGTGCTGATTAATTTCTCCTTAATGAACAGTAAATATATTTTCTCTTCCTTGTGATCATCTTCATATATATTTTCTTTTCTTTAGCTTACTTTTTAAAATAAAAATATAGTATAGTACACATAATATACAAAGTATGTGGTTTTTGGCTTTTGGTCAAGAGTAGGCTACTAGCAGTAAAATTTGGGAGGAGTCAAAGTTATACACAAATTTTTGACTGCATAGGGGGGTCAGTGCCTCAAGCCCTGCACACTGTTCAAGGGTCAGCTGTAGTATTTTCTCTCCCCTTCCAGGTGCCAAAATCAGCTCCATCTTTCTTTCCTCCACCAAAAGATAGATAAAGAGTCCTCAAGATAAAGGACTGTGCCTAAATGTATCTGAATCCTCATAGCACTGAGGACAGTTCTGGGAAAACAAAAGGTACTCGATAAATATCTACTGAAGGATTCGTCAATCACAGAGAAGCAGCACAATTGAAAAACTTCCGGAGTTTTCAGCTTTTTTTTTTGTTTTATTAAATCATAGCTGTGTACATTAATGCAATCATGGGGTACAGTGTGGTGTTTTCATATACAATTTTAAATACTCTCATCAAACTAGTTAACATAGCCTTCGTGTCATTTTCTTAGTTATTAAGACATTCATACTCTGCTTTTGGAAAGATTCACTTGTACCCTTGTAAGATAAACCGTAGAAGTGACTCCACCAATCCCCCTCTCTCCACCCACCCACCCCTACCATTCCCCTCCCCCATTCTAAGGCTATAGTTAGGTTATATCTTTCCTATGAAATCTATAAATTAGTTTCAAATTAGGGCTGTGTACATTGGATGCTTTTTCTTCCATTCTTGAGATACTTTACTAAGAATAACACTTTCCAGCTCCATCCATGTAAACATGAAGGAGGTACAGTCTCCATCTTTCTTTAGGGCTGTGTAGTATTCCATGGTGTACATATACCACAGTTTATTGATCCATTCGTGGATCAATGGGCACTTGGGCTTCTTCCATGACCTAGCAATTATGAATTTGGCTGCAATAAACATTCCGATACAAATATCTTTGTTGTAATGTGATTTTTTGGTCTTCTGGATATATACCTAATAAAGGAATTGTAGGATCAAATGACAAGTCTATTTTTAGTTCTCTGTTCTCCAGACGTCTTTCCAAAAGGAACAAATTAGTATGCATTCCCACCAGCAGTGAAGAAGTGTTCCCTTTTCTCCACATCCATGCCAGCATCTCTGGTTTGGGAATTTTGTGATATGGGCTAATCTTGCTGGAGTTAGGTGATATCTCAAGGTAGTTTTGATTTGCATTTCTCTGATGATTAGGGATGGTGAGCACTTTTTTATATATCTGTAGGCCACACACCTATCTTCTTTAGAGAAGTTTCTGTTCAAGTCCCTTGCCCATCCTCAGATGGGATCACTTGTTTTTTTCTTGCTAATACATTTGAGTTCTCTGTGGATTCTGGTTATTAAACCTTTGTTGGAGACATAACCTGCAAATATTTTATCCACTCTGAGGGCTGTCTGCATGATTTACTTACTGTGTTCTTGGCTGTGCAGAAGCTCTTTAGTTT